GGGAAACTAGGGATAACATCCTTCCCCCCTTAGCTGCCTGACCAGATATTACAGAGCAGTAAATATATTACAGAACAGCATCTATGTTTATAGAGCTCATGGTGCTGCTGCCCATGCTGCGTTGTTAGCTGGAGGGAAGCAGCCTTAGCTGCCAATGTCAGGAGGATGCATAACCTTTCTTTCTCAAGTTTTTTCTTTCAAATAAAGTAGACTGCCAACTAGTTATTGATTTGAATTATTACTTTTAAGAATCCCACTTAGTTTCTCTGATTTTGCATGTATTTTTTAAGTGAAAAATGACACTGCATTTAGATTTTTCATTATTTTTCTTATTACATTTGGCTGTGTTCTGATATCAAAACACAATGTAGGTAACTGGGAGTATATTCCTAGAGTAATAGGGAAACTGTATAGCTGTAACATCAGATGTTGAGGCCTCCATATGATATCGCACATCTCACAGGTAGTGAAGGGGTACCTAGTTGCTGTTCTACTGACAAATCTTTGGCTCTGTCTGCAGCCCAAAGTTCCAGTTTTTTTTTTTTTTCTGTTCTGATCTGATTCTTAGACTTGACTTAGACTATTCTTAGACTCCAGGCAGTGAGGTTCTGCCTATTGTTTAAACTCCAGATGGGGCATCTTGCAGGGGAGCATTCAGAACTGTGCTGGTGCTCGGGCAGGTGGCAGGGAAGGAACAGACACTAAGAGCAAACTTAATGAAGCAGCAGTTATCACAGTATGTATACATGAAACACAGCAAACTGCTGGTGTAGGCATACTCAAAATGAATGGAAGATGTCCATTAAAAACCATTAATTTGGATCTTTTCAACATCAGTGTTATTCTGGGAAAATTTCTTTTGGCTTCTGTGATTCATAGAAAGAATTCAGCATTTCCAGGTTTTAGTGTGACTTAAAACTTTTTATGTATTTATATATTTTTTAATTGTCCTAGGTGCTGACAATAACTTGAAGAAATCTCTTTTTTATCTATAGGGTCTATGTTCATCCAGGTTCTTACATACATACCTAAATGTAAGCACAGAAACAATATTTCCAAGTGCAAAGAGACTGCATCAGTGGCTCATTTTAGACACATGGTTAAAGTTTTGTGGAACTGATTATGCTGAAAATGTATATATAAAAGTCATAATGTAGATAATTTATGTAATCTTTTACGAAAGCATTTTCTCCTCCAAGAAGTACACCTAGATATCCTGAAAGTATTATTAAATAGAATAGAACATATTAAAATCCTTTCTTGGTAATTGCAAAGTTAAACCATGTATAAAGTAGTGCATTGTGATTTCCTTGAAAAAATATTAAGTTTTAATATTACTCCATTATTTTAAATCCTTCTTTAAACATTAGTGGGAGAGAAGAGGAAGAAAGTGCTGTATAGTGAAAACATAAAATAAATAAACAGAGAATGAAAATGTGCAGTATCTTTATGAAACCATATACTCCATCCAAAATCAACTTAATTCAGACTGTTCAATATAAAAAGAATTGATTAAAAACCTGAAAGATAGTCTTTGATATGAACAGCTGCTGGTGAGATAATTTGCTTTCTTGTTGCTAGCATGTTCATGAATATTATTAGGAAAATCTGCCTCATGTCTTGCATAAGAAGAACAGAGGAGATAGCATACTGCATGCGTGTTGCAAGAAGTACAGTAATACAAAACATCTGGGTGAAGAGTTCAAACTGATGTTCATTCTACTAAAAAGGCAATCCTCTCTTTGGTTTTCTCTTTTCTCACAGAAGGAAAAAAAAAAAAAAAAAAAAAAGAACACTGATAGATTTCTCCAAGAAACTCAAAACACAAACTCAAAAAAGTCTGTGAACCTGAATAATGTGTATGGAAAGCCTTATATATCACATTTATCACATTTATGATGAAACAGTTTTGGAGGCCCTAAAGTTTATTTGAACCTATGCTCTATGTATGTTGGCAATTGCATGTCTTGGAAAAGAGAAAGTTAGTCTGTTCATTGATTAATTATTAAAATTATATATATATTACTTATACCAGTATATGAATTCACATTTGCTAAATCAAATACACTTACTATTTGGCCAGATTTACTGCCAGTGTACTGATTTTATCGCTGATAAGCAGATAATTATAGGAAACAAAAAGTAACTGCATTTTGGGCATGAATCTGATCTTTTGGCACTTGCAAACACTTCCAGGAGATCAGGAAGTTACTTATATTTCCCAGCCACAGGAGAATTAAGTTACTTTTCACTTCACTGCCTATAAAACCAACTTTTGCACCCTCATTTTTATCTAGCTTTGTAAAAGAGTATTAGGTACCAATATTCTTTCCAAGAGTGCTCTTAATTGTCTCTTCAGGGAGAATAATTGGGCACTCAATTGATGATATTTGCTGCAAAACAAATTCAGTTTTCATTAAGGAAATGCATCTTGTGCTTGAAAGGGATAATATGGCAATATGTTTTGTGCTTCCTGCTTTGCTGTTCAGAGGAGGTGTGTGACAGATCTGTGGTTCTTTGGTGTCAGCGCAGCAATTAACTGCTGCCACTCAGCAGAGCTGTTCTAATTTACTTTTCACTCCCTGCTTAGGAAAAGAAACTCCATGCCTCAGACCACCCTGCACACTCAGTGATGAAAAGCATAGTACTTTTTAAGTTGTTGATTTTGGGAGCAGCATCTCATATTCAAAGATCATAGGTACTGAAACAAATAATGAGTATCCTCTTCAGGTCATAGGACCCCAGAACTCAAAAGTCACTGTTATTAAGGCTGTGCTTTGCTTAGTAAGCTTTCAAGAGTTTTGCTCCTGCTTGTTCAAGTGCTCAACTTTGGCCTACAAAAAATGTGTATAAGTGGCTAAATCTTCCTTATAAAGCAACACACACATGTACACAAAAGATCAGATATATGGTAGAAACTAAATCTATTCCTTTTTCTGCTGGCAAAGAACATCATTTTAAACACAGCAATATCCTGCATTTTTACCCTCATAATTTCTTTTTCACTTTCACTTCTTCAAGAAAGCTGAAATATAATTTCTATTTCCTCATTCCACTGCTCTGTAAATCCACCTACATATTCTAAGCAGCCAGCATCTGGCTAGCAGCTTCTGTCTCCTTCAAGGTAGTTCAAATAGCTTTTTTACAAAGGTGACATTCTCAAAGTTTTGTGTGTGAAACTAAACAAACATTTGCATGACCTTCACTTGCAAAGGCAAAATCCACATGTTCAGTATCAAAGGCTCACCCATTTAGGCATAGTGGTGTGAAAGTAACTGAACTGTGCATACATACTGGGTTTGCTTGAGAATAAACTGTCACTATACAAATATATATGGCTACAGTTGAGCCTTCCTAAATATTTTTTCCTTGTTTACATTCCGCTATTTCTGCATACTCTTAACTCCTTTAATTTTTCCAGTGTTACTGAAGTCCCAGGTCATTATCTGGAACATCTTCATCTCTGGGCCAGGCAATAATAATCCGGTTTCAGAATGCACTTTTCTCCCAATAAGTAACTGGTATTCATTCCTTACAATAGCTAGAGTTTCCTGGTCTCTTTTACTATCTCAAAGTAGTAAAAAGAACCCTCTGGTTTCAGGCTGGAGTCACAAAATATTGAATCTGATTTGATATTTGTGTGTTGGAGGAATAGATTTTTTTTTTCTTTGCTCAAATAGATGTTTAGCAGTATTTTCTTAGACACCAAATGTCTAATAATAACTGACTGTGGTAAGTTACTAGTTCTCATATATGCAATCTATTTAATGCATCCTCCTTGTGCTTGGTGTAATGCTTTGCTCTTAGCTGGTGTCCATCCAAGTTTTCTGACTCTTAGTCACTTGGAAATGAACATGATTTATGACTTCCACACCCCCCACCTCTCTATTCCTGTTGCTCTTCTGAAGATTGCTGACCTAGAAGAACTGGCAGAAGGGGGACATATCTACCTAGGACTTTTCCTGAGTAAATCTTGCCTTCTTGCCTTCCACCTTTTTCAAGAGTTTAAATACCATTACCAAAATTTGGAGTGGAATGATTCATTTCCTGGTCTGGTGGGATAGCAATCTGTGGCAGGATTGGACAGAGAAATGGCACCAGGATCGTCTAAACCATCACACTTTGGTTCATTGGAATGACCAAAGTCATTGTGAGGGTAAAAATGCATTTGTGCCTACTTAGCTATCCAGCATAGCTACCCTTTACTGCTCACATCATTTAGGAGGTTCATCGCTCTGCTTTTTCATGAGAATTCTGAGAGTTCAGCACTCTCATGGAAGCACTTCTGTTTGTGAAGGAAGTTCAGTTATATCTTTGAAGTGTTCTCCAGAGATCATCATCATAGCAATAAGTTTATGGACTTATGGTTTACTGTTCTCACCTTTCCCCGTAATCAGAATTTCTCTCAATGTAATTTAAAGCAGTGCAGCAATTCTTGCATTTTAATACAGAATTTTCTGATGGTATGTTTGTTCCTGTTTCTCAAGCGTGCTCTCCTGTGAGGATTCCTTTTTGCAGTCAGTAATTATGTGCTGAAAATAAACTGAAGTGCTGTTTCAGTCTCCTTATGCATTTGAGTTGTATGCTATAGTAAGCTTTGAAGAAAACCCACGGATTTGCAGTACTACTCATTTATGCCATTGTGGAATAAACTTTTATATGTCCTGATCAGTACTTAGCTGTCAAATGGATACTTGTATAGTATTAGGACTCTCAGAGATAATTATATAAATAACAGCTACAAAGAATACTGCTCCTGTTCTCATTTCATTTGACATTAAGTTACATGCAACTTAAATAATATGATATTTATGTCACTCAAAGCTCAGTTGTATGCTCAACACTTGTTGAAAGCTTATTTGCCTCTATACATATTTCTCAATGTAACATGTAATTTCTTCTAGGAATATGTGAACTAATTGAAAATGTTGGTAATCTTACTGAATGATTCCTTAACTTTTCTTTATTCTCTCTCTCTCTTTTTTTTTTTTTTTTTAAAGGTAAAAAAATTGTATCAGAGCCTACAACTGTTAAGCTGGTTACAACTCTGAAAACTGACAGTGTGAAACTATCAACTGCTAAAGTTACTCTTAAACCTTCTGTTTTTGAGAGTTCGGTTACTGAAGTGGCTGTCACCAAAACAAAGGTCCCTGCTTGGGAGGAAGCAACCCTAGAGAATGAAGATACAAAAATGACTACTGAAGTGGCTGAGGAGAAAAGGGAAATGGAGGTGCTTATGGAGAACATTAAGTTAACCACCCTTTTACCTCAGACTGTCACAGATGGTGAAATAAGCCCTTATGATACGCTGGGAAGGACTGAATATGATGTTTCACCTAGGTTAACAGAGAGCACATCTGCAGCTTTGGAAGTGGAGCACACTTACTCTGAAGCAGAATTGTCCGAGGAACAAGGTAGGTCTGAAAGCACTGAGGACGCTTTCTTGACCTCTGTAGTTTTTCAGGATAGCACAGCTGTAGCTAAGAGTTCCACTGGTTCGTGGGAAGATATTGAAACAGGAGATACACAAAAACATGATGCTGATAATCAGACTGAACAAATAGAAGTGGGTCCTCTGATGACAGCTACAGATAGCTTGGTACCAGCTTCTCAGAGAGAGTTACCCAGGACAGGGACTTCAGTTTCACTAACAAAAGAAAATCTGTATCTTGGTTCTCACTCAACAAAAGAACCCACAAAAAAATCAATGGAAGCAAAATCTGACAAGAAACTTACAACTGTTGTAATCCCTAAGGCTTTATTCACTGATCAGTATGATCTTACTACAGAGGGGGAGGGAAGAGAGAGCATGTACACCATTATGCCTGATAGAATTTCTGGCGTGGCTCTGGTTAGCATCGCAGAATCTGATGTGCCTGCTGTATCAGAGACACTCATAGATGAGCTTGCGGTAACCACTGGACAATCTTCTACAGCAGATGAGTCAACTCCATTCATTAAATTTAGTTCGTCTGCAACTGTGTTTGATAATGAGGCATCAGCTGAGGGAAGCAGAGAGGATTTAAAAGATGTGCATCACACTACGTCATCTGGAATACCTGTATCCTTTTCTGTATTCACTGCCAATGAAACAGGATCTGTTCTCACAGAAGGTACCATTGCCCCACAAAAGTTTGAAGAAGGCATCACGTCTGTTCTTCACTCATCTCAGCAAACAGAAGGATCAGCTATTTTAGAAAAGCAGGAAAAAACAAAGGAGCCAGAAGTGAAGACAATAGATGATAAAGTCCTTTATGTCACAACTGTTTTTCCTGCTTCTGTTAGTGCAAGATCTGAGGGACGTTTCATAAGTGAGAAGTTCACACACACTCCTCCAGTTTCTGGCATGTGGCTACAGACAGATAAGGATCAGGGCTATATAACAGAAGAAATATCTCATACTAAGAGAATTGAGCTAGACTCTGAAGATGGTATCTCTGGAATGGAGCCTACATCATCTCCAGAGCAAATTATAGAATATACAAAGCATCTGAGAGCTTCAGTTTCATCAGTAACGGATGAAACCAACACAAGCATGGAGACAGCAGAAACAAAAAGTGATGAAGAAGCTGTATCAGCTGATTTTGATTTGAGTGAAGGTACTACAGATGTCTTGCAAACAAGCAACTCTTTAGATTTGGAAAAGTTTACTGTATCCAAAATATCAGTGGATGAAAGTAGTGGAACATTTAAATCGTTTAGCTCCTCTAGTGGTACTGTGTTACCAACTGCTGTGCCCACTGTCCTGGAGGTGACTGATCATGAAGCAGATGAAACATCAGGACATGTTATGAAAATGACTCTTTCTACCCCAGAAGGTGAACAAAGAAAGGCTACTGAGAAATCACCAGCAACCTCTGCTGAAGATGAAGTCTCTACAGGGATGGAGATCTCAAAACACACAGTGACAGAAGAAGGCCAGACAACCAGTGTGACATCCACTGTGGAGAAGTCAGTGGCAACACTTCAGGAAAGTGGAGGAGAAACATCTGTTGGCTTAGGAGTAACAAAGGAACCCCTTAAGTTTACAAATTTAACTGAGATAGAGAATACATTTCCACAGAGAGAACATGATATTTCACTAGTTCCAGTCACTGTAGGTAGTGAGAACATTGGAGTTACTGATCAGACTTCTTTTGACAATATCATTCATACTGAAGCAATAGTAACAAGTGCAAAAGCTAGTGAAGTTTTTCCAAAGGAGCTCTCCACAAAAGATCAAGATAGGGAACTAGGTACTGCCACAGGGTCTACCTTGTTTGTGACATCTGTCCAAATGCGTGAACAAACGACGACAGCAAGATTTGAATCATCTCTAACAACCACTCTGGAAAAACATGATGAGACAGGTTCAGCCTATGATGAGATGTATCCAGCAACAGAATTATCAGTGCCTGCATTAATGCTTACAGAATATGGACAAGTTTCAGGGCCTGTTGTAACTAGCACAAGGTCTTCGCATCTCACAGTGACTCCCAAGGCTGAGACTGCTACTGAGCAAGAAGAGAAGATTACAGAAGCGATGCCTGTAACTTTTGGTACACAGGCAAAAGTGTATGAAAGCAAAGGAACCACCACAAGGGAAGAAGACAGAAATATAGGGAGCTGGAGTTCTGTGTTGCCCCCCCATAAGATGCTGAGTAGTCCTTCTACTGCAGGAAGCATTAGTTTTCTGACTTTGGAAGCTTCTCCAAGTCAAACTCCAGAAGGTTCAGGAATATCAGAAGAGCTGGAAGAAGTCAGAACAGTTCCATTTTCATCTAAGGCAACAGTTAAAACAACTGTGCTCAGTGATGTAGATACATCATCTGTTAGTGCTGTAGAGAAAATTCAGCCTACCTCAGCATCCAAACCTTTTGTTTCTCTCAAGACGCCACGTATTATTCCTGAGGAAGATGAGGAGGTAACAAGCAGTGACGTCATAGTAATTGATGAATCTATTTCTGCAAGTAAAGCCACTGCTGAAGATGATCTGACAGGAAAGATGGTAGAACCAGAAATTGATAAGGAATATTTCACATCATCAACTTCTACTGCAGTTTCACGTCCTACTGCCCCACCCACAGTGATGGAGGCCACAGAGGCCTTGCAACCACAAGAGATTACTCCTACTTCACAGCCTGATAGTGGAACTGACATAAGATTGTATGTTATTCAAATCACAGGCAATGATACAGGTAAGATTTTGCCTTTTAGACCTGCAATCCATCGTGATGGACAGTGTATCATAACAGGCTGGTGTGACACTTCTAGAATATACAGGAAGTGCTACTTGGATCACTGAAGCATGCAAAGCACAAGTTTTATCTAGACAACAATTTGCTAAGTGTTGGTAGGTCTATTTTTCTATCAATTCAAAATGATTGGAAAAGTGTTATATATATGGCTTCAGGTGAGGTTAATTTCTATGTAAGAATAATATTGAACTGTTACACTTCCTATTAAGACTAATGGTGGTTATATTCCAGTTTTCTTACTTAATGTTGTCACGTCACTGATTTAACTTCAGCTATCTGTGGAACAAGCATTTTAATTTCACAGCTTCCATTCCATGCGTTACTAGTCCTAAACAAAGCACTAGATTATTTTAACATTCCATTAGTCCGTAGCAATTAACAATGCCATGTACATGTAGTCAGCTAAAAAAGGCTAATGCATCCTGCTGTGTCCTAAGATGGATCTCCTGTGATGTTAGAGAAAGGTTTCTGAAGTTTTCTTAGATTTTTTCTACCAGTTTTACAGAATCTGAGATGTAAGTTGATGTAATTTTTTGCAGTTTCATTCTATTTTTTAGCTGATGACATTGTACATGTGTATGCAGCTTCAATTCCATGGGTATCCAGAACAGAAACTTCTGAAGTAACAATGAACTGTTTAATTTTATTAAGAATATGTCTCCATAATTCAAAAGTTGAAGAAGCATGTAAAATGAACGTTACTTAAGAAGCCTTGGTAAAACCTTATTTTTAAAAATTAGGTGTTGAACATTGATAAAAAGGAAAGAGCTCAAATATCTAGTATGTTCGGTATTGCATTCTGTTTTGTTTTTTGTTTTTTTTTTTCAACAGAAACAGTAAAAATTCATTCTATGCTTTTTATAGCTTAACTGTACGTGATGCTTTTGAATGATTATGCAAGAAACTTTTGTCATTGGTTCTTTGCCATAATCTCCTTATTTTGAATAATGTATCCAGCAGAAATTATAATTTATGGAAGTCTGGTAGACTGGTTTTATTCAGTTTATGGTTGGTAGAATTATGTTTAAAAATCAAGAGGCAGAAGTAGAACCCTTGAGATGTGCTGTATTGTTATTTGACTTTCCCAGTGGACTTTGTATGTTTATTTACTTTGTGCTTGTTACTGTACTTTATATTTACTAGACATAAAACTACACAAGTCATATCAGCAGTGACTGAACCTATTTCAGAAAACAATAGTTATTTTAAAATTTAAGCACTGCTTTTGTTTCTGTGACATATTATCTTTATCTTAACTGAAGACATAGTTGTTGCCAGTGTCTTGGAAATCTCAACTGAATGAGACAAAAGCGGTAAGTCAGAACAGAATTTCTCAAGACTAGAGTAAAGTTACATGTTTTTATCCCTTAGGAAGTTTGGATAATTCTGTTTAACAAGTAATAGGAGGACTGCGTAGTAGTGAAATAATAGTTTTCTCTGTTCCATTGTTGATTTATACAGTAGTTTGTTGCACAATTGAGTAGATGTCTTCAGGCAGCTGTTTGTTCCACATAGATGGGAAGTAGTAGGATGGTTTGGCAGTGTGTGGAATCTTCCTGTCTTTTCAGATAATGCCTACAGTGTATGATTCGGGATTTTTCTCGGTCTCCCTCAGATAGTCTTCTTTATGCTTTCTTTGGAATGCTGTGGGTAGGAATTAATCCAGTTCCTAATTTCTGGACTACCTAAAGAACAGCAGATCAGTGCACAGCCATGATTTCTCTCACTGGGGTGATGTAGTCCTCAGAACAGACTTTATTCAGGGTTTATCTTTTGGTTCTTCACAAACATTTTTCTAGTTATACATGTGCATATTTTTGATGGTTATATGTTGAATTAAAGTTTACAGCCTTAAAATTCTGCCCTTAGGACTGATATAGTCTATCAGCATAGGAAAAAAAAAATCCTAGAATAGTATGGTAGTATCTTCATTTTGCTTAAATAATAATAGGATTTATCAAGTACTCAGTGAAAGGTCAAGAAAGAGCTTTATTTTTCTATTTTCATGTGTGACAGTGATAATTCCTCCATTTAGATATTCAGAGAGGAAAGCCACCCTATGCCTACTTGCAACAAGTTAAATCAGAGCTGCCAAAGATTTGTTTTGTCTGAGGATATGGTTTAGGGCTTTCTTTTCTTTCTCCAGAAATGAGAGACTGTGCTTGAAACAGACTGCCAAGCCAAGTTTCACTTCATTGTTATGCAGTCCATAAACTTTTCTTTGTACTGAAGAAAATGTATATAGGAGGTGCTAAAGAGGAATGAATTTGGCAAGTATTACTAACATATGCCCTTCACACAGACACAGTTCAACTTCTTATTCTTTCATTGTTTGTCTGAAAATTGATCTGCAGACATACTCAAACTACGTAAATTGTGCCTCTGATGTTTTGTTCTCAGCTAAATGACAGCAAGACATAGTTTTCACTATCTCTTACTCATAAAACAGGAGTTTTTCCTTTTTTGCTTTGGCATTCATTACAAGGCAATACAGTTTAGCATTCTTAAATAAAATAATCAGTGGAGAATATCAGAGAAGGCCCTCATGATTTTAATGTCATTATCCAGAAGTATATTTTTAGAAATGGCAATTTCTTTTTACCTAACCCTTCAAACAGCAGCTGTTGTGGAATAGTAATGGGAAATCTGCTATATAAAGGGCATATATGAATGTGTATAAATGAATGTAGTATTTTCCTTCTTGTGTGTGCACGAGTGTTGGAAATATCGTTGGGATTAGTTTTTTTTTAATCTTTCTTCACCACGTTGCCATTCAGCTTTCTTCAGAAGCAGTACTCAATGGAAATACATTATCACATTTGGTTCCCTAGCCACATGGCTACAGTATAGTCATGCTATTATACTAACAGCCGAATAGCACTCTCTGCAGTTCCATTTACCGTCTGTAGTGTAGTCATAACACTATTTCTGTGGAGGTAATGTTGTCTTTGTGAGAAATATTTCACACTCCACGAAGAGGACTCACGCCATTAGCTATAGGGAGGCCATGGGCATCTCTCCTGTGCCCATTGAAGTGAGGAACATTTCCATGGCCACACTCTGTGATGAGGAGGAGAAAGAGGGAGGATTTCTTGTGCCTTTCTACTTGATCTCAAGGCCTTGCTAAAGTTGCATCACCTTCATTGAGGTGCTTTGAAGTCATCGGCTGGAATGTGCTGTAGAAGCATGGAATGTGTTATGGATGTATGGAATGTGGGGGATATGGTTCTTGATTATTATTGTAGACTCAAGCTGCACTTAAAAGACTTTTAATATTGATGATGTTAAAGTCAATTGAATCTATTGACAAAGATTTCAGGTTCTGTTATACTCTACCAGAATAATTTGTAGTGGTACTGTATGTAAGTCAGATATTTCTGATTTTAAATAAAATAGGCCTTTGAATTTATTGAACCAGCCATCCAGGAGCAGTTTCTCCTAGTAGGCTTCTTTTCTCATGCCATCCCTGAGCTTAACAGTTCTTCTCCTAGCTTTTAAAATGCATGCTTGCAATCCATTAAAAATTTCATAAGGGAAGTTTCAGTTACTTTTAGATAATTAACTATGGAAGCAGAGTTAGGGGAGTTGGAAGGTCATCCTCATTAGCTTAAATTCTGATAAATACACTCAAATGCTGACAGGAAAGAATGCAACATCGGATGGATTGAACAACTTGTTTCTATCAGAATATGTCACCTTTCAGTGAGAAAATGTCATGTGTAAGCAATACACACACTTCCATGTGTGCACGTGTGAGGCAGGTGCACAGATTTAAGAGGAATATCAGGCATGGTGTTTCTGATGGGCTGTGGTAGGTGGCCATGTCTGGATTGGATGTTCCAATTAGTGAGGAAAATATATTTGTGTTCAGGGAAACGTTCCTTTGTTTTTATTCTAATAAGAAGGATCATGCACATGTTTCATGATGGAGAAAGCCTGGAACTTCATTCTCCTTTACGAAGCAGTAAGCTGACACAGCAAAGTGGCTCTCATCCCAGTGTTGACCACATGAGCACTTCTTCGTTACATAGGATAGGACAAGGGAATCATCTCTTTCAAGGCAAAGAGGGAAGTCTTGTTCCTTTGTATCCTTTATTTCCTCACAGATCTGATATGTGTTGCAGTTATGAGCGCTGGTGCTGTTACTGGAAGGTAGTGTATCAGCAGCTGGGAATAAAACAAAAAAAAACCTGAAGGAACTTTTCAGCTCATAAAGATTTTATGGGCTGAAAAATGCTTGTGGGGGTGTTGTTTAACAGTGATACTGGAAACATAACTCCTGTCTGTATCAGGAGTAATTTGCACACCTGCATTTTTTGGAGACATTTAAAAGTCTTTACTTAGCGAGTGTATTTCAAAGCGCTTATTGGACCCTGGGACTCACACCAACTCTGTCTGGTTTCTTGTCCCCTCCAGCTTTGAGCAGAATGAAATTGCAGAAACTTGTGCTCTGTAGTTGAGGAATTTTATGGAAAGAGGGTTACAAACCTTTGTGTTTCAACATGTAATTCCCTGACATGCATATTTATTTCTTAGTAGTGTAAGAAGATTGTGAAATTTGGAAGAAAAGGAGTACTGTAGAATGCAAGATGTTAATGAGTCATAGTCGTAAAGCTGAACAAAGGAGGCAGAATAGGGTCTTTGCAGGTCCATCTTAAAATTCATTTAATCCTTTTGTTCTTCCCTGCTCCCTCTGGAAGGCTGTCCCAGATCATTATGACTCTCCTAAAGTCTGATTCTAATATCTAGCCTGAATTGTTTCTTGGCCAGTTCAAACTCGTGTTTATTCTTGCCAGCATTGTCTTTAGCTTGAATAGGTCTTTTTTCTTCTTGACACTTATCCCTTGATACTTTTATTTCTCTGTTCAGTCATAGAGAATAACCATGTCCCCTTTCAGCCTTCATTTTTCTCATTACTGAGGAGAGAGTGAAAATGCTGT